AATCTTAATGCACAAGTCATACCAAAACAAGTCTAATCAAAAATTGATATGCAAGTTGCACAAATTGCTTTGAAAATGCACTATGATGGCCATAGCTCAAAATAAAATGGATCATGATTAAATGAAAGTGTACACATTTTCTAAACATGTTATCCAATGATCCTAGATGCCTAGATCAATCAAAATCAGTTCCAAACCAAGATTGGCATGTAAGTTGCAATTATGGACAAAAATGCTTGGTATGCAAAATGCTAGCTTCAGCTCATGACAGAAGGGAATAAAGTTATGTAATGGTATGCACAAGCTTGTTGCAATATGGAATGCCTTGAGAAAACTCCAGCTGTTGTCCAATTCTGCTTTGATGAAAACAACCCTTGCTTGCACTTGAAGGAACTTGTGACAAATCTCAAAATAAATGAGGATGAGGTTGTTTTATGTTATGGACAGTTGATACATCATATATCAAAGGTGTATGGAGGGTTAGGATGATGAAAACAGGTCTGGATAGAGATTTGCTTGATTTTGTGTGTGAGGTCAAACTTGTTTGGTTTGAAAGTTGACTTTTGGGAGAATAGAGTTTTTGAGTGGTTTAAGAGTATGAACACCTTCCACACACCATTTTTGGATTGTGAAGATGGTTTTTGAAGGATTGGAGTGTGTGGAAATGGATTTGGGAAGCTAACTGTCCAAGGCAGATTTTGATGAAACTTGGAATTTTGAAAATGAGGCAAGCAAGAAAGGAATGAGAGTTGTGGTTTTCTCTTGGTTCTAAGAGTCCTCTGGTGTGAGGAGTAACATAGAGGGAGCCTCTATTTATAGGAAAAATAAAGGGTGAGGACAGATTTGTAACTTGGCACTTTTGGAGGGAGTTTGAAAAAGTAGCTTGCTTAATATTTTGATGCAGCTGCAAGATCAGATCTTTGGCTCAAGCTGATGCATTGTTCAAGTGGTATGAATGACATAATAGTGATTGGAGTGGCTAGGCAGTAGGGGGTTGTTTGCTGCAAGTGTCCCATAAAGTTTCTCTTTCTTCTCTTTTCTTGGATTAAAATAATCCCACTTGCCTTCAAGTTGCAAGACTTACTGAACCTCCCTATTTTCTGCATTTCTTCTCTTCAAATCCTCTAAATATCAGATAGAAATAAGATCCAAGGGCTGAGAATATCTCAAGTGGTCAAAGGATGAGTTTGTGAAAGATTGAAAGTGTGGGACTCAAGTGTTAAAACCTCATCTTGTTAAATTCATAACTCTCAGCTCATAAGGGCTATGGAGGAGTTCTAGTACATTTTGGAAAGCCCTCATGTAGCTCTACAACTTTCATGTTTTCATGAGTTTCATATTCCCAAAGGAACTTGGCCAATAAACCTCTCAAAAGTTGCTGAAAAACAAGCCTAAAAGTGAAATAACTTAGAATTTTTCTAAGTTACTTTTCCCTCTTGTAATGAATTTGGTCATAACTCCAAATCTATGCATTTTCTGCTCATGGACCACTTTAGGACTTTTGTAGGAATTGTCAAGAACTTTCCAATGAGCTTTGAACCAACTCAATTGGATGTGTGGTTAAGGAGTTATGCTCTTGCCCCTTTCAAAACCCTAATTCCCGACTTTTGCGATTACTCCCCAATCCTTGATCCAATGGTCATGAAACTTCATGGGTAGGTGCAATATGTCATTAGGAACATTTTTATTCATATCTTGGGGTCAAATTCCTTATGAGTGAAGAGTTGACTTTTCGGTCAACCGAACGATCGATCGGTGACTACCGAGTCGACTGTTGATGCTCCAGGTCTTTTGAGGCCTTGAAAATTCTTGAGTAGACTTCATTAAGCCATATGAACTTTATGGACCATGATCCCACCATTGTAACACCTTTTAAATCAAAAGTCAAACCACAGTTGACTTTTCCTGATCGAAAACCCTAATCGGGTATCCTGAACTGCACTGTTCTTGATTCTTGAGTGACAACCTCAAATTAGATTCATACTTGATCCAATGGAGTATGCTTGATGATGTGGAGAATTATTTCATGGAGAAAAAATCCAATACATTGACTGATTAACCCTCGAAACCTCGATTTCGGCTGTACGAAATTTTGATTCCTGTATCTTAACAAAGACAAACTTGAAATGGGTTAAGGTTAGATAATCAACTGAACATGACCCTAAGATGAGGATGAAGATCTAAGAGGTCAAAATTTGGGGTATGATAGCATCTTTAAGCCAAACCAAAAATATTACGGTCGCCACGCTCATGTCACAAAATCCCCTCTCCCTAGAAATCCGGTGTCTGCACTCAAGGACCCTAATTGGAAAATGGCCATGCATGATGAATATAATGCTTTAATTAAAAATGAGACGTGGAATTTAGTACCACGGCCACCTGATGTTAATGTTATTCGATCTATGTGGATTTTTAGACATAAAGAAAAATATGACGGTTCACTTGAGAGGCATAAAGCCCGACTTGTAGGTGATGGTGCAGGTCAACAGGTTGGCATTGATTGTGGAGAAACCTTCATCCCCGTTGTCGAACCGGCTACCATTCGCATTGTTCTCAGCCTTGCCATTTCAAAATCTTGGAATATTCATCAGTTGGATGTCAAGAATGCATTTCTCCATGGTGAACTCAAAGAAACAGTGTATATGTACCAACCATTAGGATTTCGAGACTCCAAACATCCTGATCATGTATGTCGTCTTCGCAAATCTCTATATGGGCTTAAACAAGCCCCTAGAGCTTGGTACCAGAGGTTCGCTGACTATGCTTCATCGATTGGTTTCTATCAAAGAAAAAGCGATCTATCTCTATTCATCTACAAGAAAGACTCTCATCTAGCATATCTCTTACTTTATGTAGATGACATCATCCTCACCACATCATCTGATACTTTGCGGCAGTCCATCATATCTCTCCTCAGCTCCGAGTTTGCTATGAAAGACTTAGGACATCTCAACTACTTCTTGGGTATTGCTGTCACTCGCCATAAGCATGGCCTATACCTCTTACAAAAGAAATATGCTGAAAACATCCTCTCACGGGCAGGAATGCCTTCCTGCAAAACTTGTCCAACTCCATTTGATACAAAACCAAAAATGAGTGCCACACATAATGTCTCATACGAGGATCCATCCCTCTATCGTAGTATTGCAGGTGCCCTTCAGTATCTTACCTTCACACGACCTGATATCTCCTATGCAGTACAACAAATTTGTCTTTTTATGCATAAGCCGATGGACGCCCATATACATGCTCTACGCCGGATATTACGCTACATTCAGGGCACAAAACACTACGTATTACATTTATATCCCTCATCTACAACTTCATTAATATCCTATACAGATGCAGATTGGGGTGGCTGTCCTGACACTCGACGTTCCACTTCTGGCTACTGCGTGTTCCTTGGGGACAATTTACTTTCATGGTCATCTAAACGACAACCTACACTCTCACGTTCCAGCGCCGAGGCAGAATACCGTGGTGTAGCCAACGTGGTATCTGAATCATGTTGGTTACGAAACCTTATGCTTGAACTACATTGTCCTATTCATAAGGCAACCATAGTATATTATGACAACGTCAGTGCCATCTACCTTTCAAGTAACCCGGTTCAACATCAACGAACGAAACACATTGAGATGGACATTCATTTCGTTCGTGAAAAGGTCGCTCGGGGTCAAGTCCGGGTTCTCCATGTACCCTCCAAACATCAAATTGCAGACATCTTCACCAAAGGACTTCCCCTTATACTCTTTCAAGACTTCAAAGAAAGTCTCAGCGTCCATCCACCTCCCGCTTCAACTACGGGGGAGTATTAGAATATATCTATAATTAGTATAATCATAATTGTATGTTATTAGGATATCGTTATAATCAGTATAATAATAACTGTATATTATTAGCTTCCAAATATAGAGATATTCACACTTGTATATTAGGACAAAGAATATCAATGAGAAGCAGGGAATTCAATTCTTACAATAAGGACCGAAAACATATAGTATTAAAAGCAACTAGTTTGTCATCAATCGTCATCAAACAATTGGACTAGTGGTAGCAAGGTCACTATTTCCGCTAGGTTCAATTCTGTTTGTCTTTTTGGTAAAAACAAACAAAAACATTAGCAATTCTTCTTTGAACAACTTGTTCTTTCTGGTTTAAGCTGATTTGACCTGTCCAACTGCACTTTGACTGGGTCAAATAGAGAAGTCTAATACTCTACCCGAACATAATGTAGGTTTAGTTTAAGCCAGGTTCAATCAGCCAGACCAGTTCGTTCGATTTGAGTTTTTAAACACTCTTTGAAATTATGTTCTAATGGAGGGATTTACTTCTTAAGCATGACATTTTAGAATTCTATGTTGATGTTTATGTTGTTTTTCCTATCTGAAAAATTTCAAAATTTGTCTTTTCTAGTCCTCAAATCCTATCTTAACTAGCAAAATTGATATTGTTAGAATGAGTGTCATCGTCAGAGTTCAAATCCAGATACTCAGTTGTTTACTGAATTCTAATATTTCTACAACTCCCTAGACACGAGATATATAGTAAATTCTGGATGTGCAAATTGAAAAGGACCTTAGCAGCTTTCATCCTTTGAATCATAATTTATCCCAAACAGCAGGCACAGACAAATAAAGCAGAAATTATATCTTAAAAATGTTTCTAATTTCTGACATTTATATCTACCTGAAAAATTCTATGACTGTAGCTTTCTGATTAAAGATATCTTTACAAGAGATACATCTAAAAAAGTACAATGAATAAAAGTAAATTACAACAACATAGTATCTGAATCCAAAGCTAGCATTAACAATAGCATAGCGCCAACAATAAAGACTACTGTCTAGCATTAATAATGGCGAGATCACCAACAATAAAGATTACCGCCTACAAGAGACTCGCTCGAGCAAGGTGGAGTTTTTCAGCATATTTTTTAATTAAATGCTATAAAATACAATTGAAACCCACTGGGTTTAAGACTCCAAAGATATAGCTGGTCATAATAAACCTTGTTCTTCAAATTCTTTTGCAACTGAAACACAAGATCAATAAGCAAATGTTAGGATAATGTTACATGATATATAAACCAGCCGAGTTAAAATTACTTGGATTGAACGTTTGTCCGGTGTCTGACACTTGTCAGAGGACATTGGAAATAATTCAACACATACATTACATCTAACCACTTCAATTTTTCTAAATTTCTAAATTATTACTCGTGTCTACAAGTCAAAGTCGTGTACAGGATCAATGGTGTGTCTTACAACTTCATATGAACTTTCACACCAAATAGTTGTTAAAACAAAACAATCACTACACATGTTTCATTCAATAAGCAAATTTTCATAATATTACCCAACACTCACATCTGCCATATCCTACAACATATGTAATGTGTCATCAAAGGAACAAATCTAAGAATATTAAATTGATAATTTTTATATACTAAACTTTAACGCATCAATGCATGTCAAATTGTAGATTGAGCACTCAAGAGAATAAAATTAGACAGGGGAAAGTCACCTTTCGAGGAGGCAAGGACCAAAACAACTTGCATGGTAACATTGTTTGGAGGAAGATGCAAGCGAAGAGGGTAAAGTTTCCCATTCAAAGGACTTCGGCTACACACAATAACTCCATCAAGTCCCGTTTCTTCCACAAACTTACGAGTCAACTGCTCAACATCATTCCCATTGAAGACTAAGGAATAGCCTTGCACGTTCTCATCATCCACGTCTCCATTTTCCTCAGCGACATGGTAGTATATCGTTCTCCCCTCCATCTTTGGCGGTGAACCAACGCTATCTGTTGACTGCAAACTCAACCAAACAAAATCATCACAAACCAATGTCGTTCAACAATCACACTAGTCCACCACAAACAATCAGTCAACGTTGCCAGTTATATTTTCTAGATTACTATATATGAGTCATTTTGGATAAACTTCTCAAAACACAGTTGCCAAAAATGAAAAATCACAATAATTATAAGTTTTTGAATCAATTGGTTTTTATATAAATTGAAATGCGCTTCTACAATCCCATTTAACTTCTCTATAAATATCTATAAACACATAAAGACCTCTTTTTGTAAGTAAAGATTCATCACCTTAATATTTTAAAAATGAGAAGCTCCCATAAACCAGAAGTAAATTTAACTTAAACATAAACTAGTTTAAAGTAACTTCATTAAGCATGTAGTCAATCAAGTCAATCAATTCAGAGCAAGCAAGTATTATTATTTGTCCATCTGTCTTTGCAGCTCGAGCCACATATTAGCCGTTGGATTAATTTAAAGAACAAGACACAATACTGTCCATCAATTGTAAGATTAATCCAGCAAACAAGTGCGATTGCAGAGTTGCATAAACAGTACAGAATCCAAGTCCCTCGATAACATTAGTTTGTCGACAATCAAAATTATGTTCAAACTCCTAATCCTAATAAGTGAGCGATTTGAGTCAAATTAGTCTTCAAGTCAAGCAATGAGAGTGAAATTAGTCCTCAAGTCAAATACTTAATGGAGTACTTAGATCTAACAAATTACACATTCAAAAACTAATTTAACACACAAAATTACATAGCAACAAAAGTCCTTCAGTATAATTTCCATCAATAATTAATCATAATCGCAACATGATTAACAATATTTAACTTCAATCATAACTAATTATAAAGATAAATATGTAAACATTATAAATCCACAATTTATCAAAATGAAACTCAACTACAATTAAGAAAAGTGATACATATTACATACCTCTTGTCTATCAAACCGATTAGATTTGAAGGAAAGAGCCGAAGATCCAAAGTCAAGAGAATCGGAATGAGGAATGGGAGGAGGAGGAGGATTCCCAACATGAATCTCAAGAACATCAACATCCCAAAGAATCCAATCCTGCGTAGCACTCCTATGAGGAATATCATGCGTAACAGAATTTCTCCAAGGAGGTAACCCACCATTAGCTCTCAGAAAATTACCATATCTCGTTTTCAGCTTAACCTGCGCACCATCTCTAACAGGCTCCCATTCGACAGACGAATCGAGTCTCCGCGGCAGTGTTTGAACAACTTTCCGGCCGGTAACGCCGAGGAGTAGCGGCTGATTGGAGGCTGTTAAGTATTTGCCGTAACAGCTTTTGAGACGGATGATGTTGTCGAATTCGGGGATGTGTTCGACTGTCCATTTAGCGTTTTTGGATGAGCCGTTGCGTTCTTGGTTGATGGATTCTTCGTCTTCTTCGGCGTGAAGGTATTTGTCGTGGTGGCTTCGGAGGCGAACTGCTTTGGCGCGTTGGAAAAGCTCCATTGATGAAGAGGTGAAGCTGTTGTTGGTGGTGGTGGCGGAAGTTTTCTGCACAGAGTTGATCGATGGTTAGTTGAATTTGTTGAGATTTGAGGTTTATTTTTTGTTTGGAATTGTGAAAGATTGAATTGAACAACGAGACCGGGTTGAATTGGTTGAGTGTTTTGAAACAGGGGTGAAATGAATGAGTTCAATGATCCATGTTTTTATGTAAGAAAAGAAAAAAAAAGAGTTGACCAGTCTTTTTTATAAAAGTAAAAAAAGAAAAGTTTATAGTATTAAGTTTATTATTTTTGTTTTTAAAATTTAATTTAACTGCCTATTTTATATTTTTGTTATTCAAAGAATTTCTTTTTTTTCGATTAATTTAATGACTATAATTTTATTATTTTAAAGGTGAGCAAGTGTTTGACAAAAAAAAATTAAATAAGTGTAATGTGAATGCACCTTTATATTTAGACTCTATTTAACATACATATTTTTCTTTAGCTTATAAATTCACATAAATTTATTCGAAAACAATCTTTTCATTTCAAATTTATAGTTTATTTTTTAGACAAACATTTTAGATTATATAATTTATTATTTATTATTTATTTCTTTTTATCTTTATTATTTTAACTAAAAAATAATATTATTATTTATAATTTATTTTAATTTAATATAAAATAATCATGTATTAAATGCAATTAAAAATATATTTTATATTATTTATATTTATTAATTAGTTGAATAATTAATTTAACTAAACAATTCAATTAATTTATCAATTATAAATCATCATCTATCAATTATAAATTATTAATTATTAATTATCAGACATCAAATATAAACTATAAATTATCAATCATCAATTATTAATTATAAGTTATAAACTATTAAACTCATCAATTAATTATAATTTTTATCAAATTAAATCTTAATGTTAAACAACTGAACTAATTTAATTTAACGAAATTAATTTAGCAATAAATTTTTTTGTATTATAAAGTTTAATAACATGATACGGTAAAACATGGTGAAGCGCGTGCCAGATGGAAAAAGAGAATGGCCAGTGTGCGCCAGCCAAATTGAGAGAACGCGGTGACTTGGTGTAATATGGCTTTGTCAGATTTAAGATCAATTCAATTTAAACATGTGAGAGAAGTGGCATCTATGGCCATTATAATTTTCTACTAATATTCCACCGCAGACAAAGTAAGTAACAGTAGAATTGATTCTTGTTCACGGATGAATATTGAGAGAATCCAAAGAGTATAACTGATCGAGATGCCATGGTGGCCTCAAGCCTGAAAACGAAATGGCATAATCATAATCCTAATCCTAATATTATAAGTGTCGTTTGAAAAATGCTATTCCTACACCCTTTTCTACACCCAATACTTACACCGTATGCACTATTCACCGTATTTATACGGTGAACAGTGTTTTTTTATTAAAATAATATATTTTTTAAAAATATTAATTTTTTTAAAAAAAAATATTTATTTTTAAAATTTATTTTATAACACAAATATAAGATTGCGCATTAACCAACTTCACAGTTGCATTAACCACAAAAATCTACATTATTAACCAATTATTTTACCTATAATTTATTAACCACTTTCACTACTTCATTAACCAATAAAATACACACTATTAACCATATTCTGGAGAATTTGTTCAAGTATTTGTGAACAGTAATTGAGGTGTAGGTGTAGAAATGGGTGTCAAGATAGCAATCCTGGTGTCGTTTATATGTGTTCACGACTTCACGTCATATTAAAATATTATTTAATATTTGAAATGTCAACTTGTTCCTTCTTCAAAAATTATGTTAACTTGTTTTTTTTAATATTAATTTATAAAGACATGGATTGAAAATTTGAGTATCATGTTACAGTCACATATTAAAATTCATATAATTTATATTAGGTGTGTGCTTTTTTGATTTTTCTTCCATAAAATCTTATTCATTTATAAATCATTTATTTGAATTAAAATTTAACTAAAATATTAATTTCAATTATCTTAGTTTGTGTTTGAAGTGGTTTTTGCTTTATATTTTAAAATTTTAAAAAATCAAATATAATAATATAAATTTTTGTTTGAATTTCAAAAATTTAAATTAGTTTCAAACAATTTATATCATTAAATTTCTAAAATAATTAAAATATTTTTAAATATATAATATATTAATGTTAGAACAGAAACGTGAATACTAATCAGAGTAAAGAGAAACACACAAAAGGTTTGTTCACGCAGTTTGACCAAATTACTTATGTTTGTGACTATAGAGGAGCTATAGTTTCTTTTAATTATATTTTATGAATTGCATATAGATTACAGTGTTACAAGCCATATATACAATACGAGACTTTAGTTTATCAAAAATCCTAATTCTTAGTTTTCCTGAACAAACTATTATCTCAACTCATAATTATCTAAAAAATATGAGCTATTCTCTCAACAACCTATATTTATCTCAACAATCCATAATTATCTCAACAATATAAGTCATATTCAACAATCTCCACCTTGACGAATATCAAACTCATATGAAAATTTCTAGCATAACGATTCGTCCTAAAAATTGAGGAAGTACATCTCCTACTTAACACTGAGAAATATGTAATAAGTCCAAATAGTGTTTGAACTTGTCAGTGGTGATTGACTTGGTCAACATATCAGCTGCATTCTCTGAAGTGTGAACCTTCTAAAATAATATATGTTCAGACGCCAGCAATTCCCTGATCTTGTGGAACCTCACATCAATATGCTTGATCCTAGCATGATACACCTGATTGTTCTTCAAATAGATAACACTCTGACTATCACAATGCAACTGAACTCCGCCTTTCTCAACACCAAACTTTTCACTAACCCTGTAAGCCATAATGCTTCCTTGACAGTTTCAACTACTGCCATGTATTCTGCCTCAGTTGTAGACATAGCTACTATGGATTGAACTAATGATTTGCAGCATATAGGTCCCTCCGCAAGAGTAAAGACATACCTTGTTGTAGACTTCATATCATCCAAATACCTGGCATAGTCAGAATCCACATATCCCATGACTGATGGAACATCATGCTCCTAGTTGAACATGATATCATGATTTGTTGTACCCTTCAAGTACCTTAGGATCCACTTGACTACTTCCTAATGTTGCTTCCCTAGCTTGAACATGAACTTTCGCATTTGGCTAACTGTTTGTGTCAAATCCAGACTAGTGCAAACCATAACATACATCAAACAACCAACAACACTGAATAAGGAATTTTAGACATATCTTCAATCTTTGAGTCTGTCTTTGGACATTGTTCCAAAGATAGCTTAAAATGATTCGCCAATGAAGTACCCACACGCTTTACTTTGCTCATGTCAAATTTACTCAGAACACCTTTAACATAGCTTTTATAAGACAACCATAATTTATTAGTTCATCGGTCTCTGTGAATTTCCATCCTAAGAATATTCCTTCAGCACCCAGATCCTTCATATCAAACTCCTCACACAACTTGGTTTTAAACTCATTTACATCATGCAAATGGTTGGCAGCAATCAACATATCATCAACATAAAATAATAGGAAAATAAAAGAGCCATCATCAAGGTTCCTCACATAAACACAATAATCATAATCACACCTTCTATACTCAATCTAAAGCATGTATGAATCAAAGTATTTGTACCACTTCCTTGGAGAATGTTTCAAGCCATACAAATACCTCTTCAATTTGCAAATAAGTATGTCACGCCCAGTATCACTAAATCCCTCTAGCAGCTCCATGTAGATTTTCTCCTCTAGATTACCATGGAGGAAAGTTTTTTTCACATTGATTTGCTCTAAATGCATATCCCTATTGGCTACCAGGGCCAATACTACTCTGATAGAAGTGTGTTTAACGATCGAACTGAAGATCCCATCATAATCAATTTCCTTCTACTGTGAATACCCCTTTGCAACTAGACAAGCCTTGCACTTTTCCCCTTCTTTTTTTGTTACTGCTGGATTTTTCTTGTACACCCACTTACAACCAATGACTCTCTTTCTCTATGGCAGTTGAACAAGATCACATGTCTAATTCATTTTCAATGATTCCATCTCCTCCACCATAGCACCCATCCACTTATCTTTCTCCTGGCTAGCCATAGCCTCTCGAAAGGTAGATGGGTGTCTTGAACTAATAAGAAGAACATATGTTGCTAAGTCTTCAAACCCATATATTGCTTGAGGTTTAATACAATAGGGCTCTATATCATGCACAAGTGTATAGTCTTATACTCCACCTGAATCTTGAACTTTACCTAAATTTGAGTCTGGTTTATCCTGTTGTTGGGCTACAATCTGTCCTGAAGTCACTGGTGGATCCTCAATATTCACCTGGACCTTGTATTGACAGGAACTTTCTACATTAGTATCTAGCACAACTGTCACATCTGAGTGTTTCAACATCAATTTCTCATCAAATATAACATATCTGCTAACAACCACCATCCTCTTAATCGGATCCCATAACTTGTACACCTTCACACCTTTATTGTAGCCAATAAATATGTACTTTTTTTTTACTTGGGGGTCAAGTTTAGACCGATCCTCACTATAAATATGCACATATTTTGGACACCTAAAAATCCTCAAATTACTTAGATCAACGGGGTTACCTGTCTATGTAACACCCATTTTAATTATTTAGTCTTTTGGTGTTATTTTATTTTGGGTGTGTCCTTTGTGGGGGAGTGAGCCTGAGCGCATGGATGGGTGTCCTTAATTTATAGGAATTATTTAATAAATATAGAGTTTAATAATAATATAATATAATTAATAATGATGATAATCTAATAATAATAATAATAATTATTATTATTATTATTATTATTGGAGTAAGTAAAATAAGGATTTAAGGGGTATTAGAAGAGTTTTGGGAGGGGAAGAGGAACAAAACACAATAAAACCAGTTTTAGAGAGAAGAGTAAATAGGAAGAACAAAGAGGAAGAGAAGAAGGCTAGGGCTAAT